TTGCAGACTTGGCCCAGAGGTGTTGTAGTTGGTAGATCAGTGCCGAGAAGCCTAGCAATTGTGCCGGGTCCATGGCGCTAAAACGCATCCAGAAGGAGTTGGCAGACCTCGGAAATGACCCGCCGGCCAATTGCTCTGCGGGCCCAGTGGGAGATGACATGTTCAACTGGCAGGCCACCATTATGGGACCTCCAGATTCAGCCTATCAGGGCGGGGTATTCTTCTTGAACATCAACTTCCCATCGGATTACCCCTTCAAGCCGCCCAAGGTGCACTTTACTACGAAGATCTACCACTGCAACGTGAATTCGAATGGGGCGATCTGCCTTGACATTTTGAAGGATCAGTGGAGCCCCGCATTGACCATCTCCAAGGTCTTGCTGTCCATCTCATCTCTGCTGACAGATCCCAACCCCAATGATCCGCTTGTACCCGAGATCGCGCAAGTCTATCTCAAGGACCGGGCCAAGCATGATGCCACAGCACGGGAGTGGGTGCAGAAGTATGCCACTTAAGTGATCTGCCGACGAGCAGTGTTTGGCATTGAGCTGTGAGCTGCCCTCTTGCAGAAGCGGGTAGCTGGCGCTCAGCTTTTGATCCAGCTTTGCGCAAAGTGAAGCAGTTCTACGAACGGCGCGAGTATGCTATGTGAGCGGGCTAGGAATGACTCACAAGCAGACTAGATAGCAGATTCAGTGACTGACATGAGGCCGATCGGCCCACAGTCATGGGGAAAAGGCAGTTGCAGTCTTGCTGATTCACCAACTGAGCATGAGCAAAAGGAATAATGTAATTAGCGGACTTGGCGCTTGCATGTCTTCTAGGTTGAGGTGCCACAACCCTTGGTAGTCATTCACGATTGCAGACTTGGCCCAGAGGTGTTGTAGTTGGTAGATCAGTGCCGAGAAGCCTAGCAATTGTGCCGGGTCCATGGCGCTAAAACGCATCCAGAAGGAGTTGGCAGACCTCGGAAATGACCCGCCGGCCAATTGCTCTGCGGGCCCAGTGGGAGATGACATGTTCAACTGGCAGGCCACCATTATGGGACCTCCAGATTCAGCCTATCAGGGCGGGGTATTCTTCTTGAACATCAACTTCCCATCGGATTACCCCTTCAAGCCGCCCAAGGTGCACTTTACTACGAAGATCTACCACTGCAACGTGAATTCGAATGGGGCGATCTGCCTTGACATTTTGAAGGATCAGTGGAGCCC